GTAGGGGTAATCTTACGATAAACAAATCAAAAATATAATAACACATCCAATTTAAGCCAGTCATACAATACGAATGGAACTGTAAAGTACGTGGGTGCCATTTTTGATGCACTCGGGATATTTTGCCGGTCGCGTACTACTCCTTTGAATATCAACGAATCACACAAACAGATAATATCACAAAATATTATATTATGTGATCACAAACAGTCTAATACCTTAATTAGTACCACACAACATGAAATAGATAATAAAAAAAAAATATGTTTTTAGCAGCACAGATAATGAAGTGGTAAAAGTCCTCAGTAGGTACTGTAGTTATGACTAAAATGTTACCTATCTGATTGCACATTAATAATTAAAACTGACGATCAACACAATGTGACAAGTTTATAATAATATTATATAATTCGTTGATTTTGATAAAATATTTTAGTGGGCATCCGGTGAGTTTATTGTGAGCGAATTGATCCTGGTCACTTGATTGACAAAAAAAAAAATGGTTTTAAGATCTATATATTATCGTGTTACTATATTTTGTTATAAAATATTTCATGTTTAATTTAACTAGGTACATGAAATAGTTTTTCAAAATTGTTCAAATATTAGGTGATACTGTAAAGTTTTTAATATTAAAGTTGGAAATTATGGGCTATTCCTTTTAAAAAGTCTTCTTTACTTAAATGATCTTAGTCGTCTCATATTTGAAAAAATTTGTTATTCACGGTCTTTGCATTTGGGTTTAACGCGTCTAAATTGTATTTGCTGAAATTATATGTCCTGCCTACAATCGTCTTTTATATAATATTAAAGACTTATGATTTTTAAATTAATCTATACATTTATGTATAATTGAATGGGCTGCGTTGAAAGTGGATTCAAACCCATTATGCCCATTTGATTTTACAGGAGATATTTTTAGAAATATTCTTATAACAATTCTGTAGCGTAACTGAAAGTATTGATGATCTCCTTTGTTTTTAGAAACTTGTATAAATAATTTGTCAACGGTGATATTAAAATAACATTATTTTAAAGTGAATTCCTATACTATTCTAAATATTCTTATTTTAGTCCTTAGTATAACTCGTGCCTCTCGGATGCTTTCCGATAGATCTCGTCGATGGAAAAAAACACCTGATCTGATTTGTTACTAACAACACTTTAAATGGTATTAAACTCAGTTTATTCAGTGCAAGGTGTTAATTTAGTGAAGTAGAAAGGTCTTAATTGAACAATTATAGTGCTCCAAATTTTGATAAATAGGTATAATACTATGAACTGTTTTTGTCATCAATTCGCTTTTAACCAATAACTGATATCATATGTACCTATACAACCGGTATCTATTTTGTAATGCATATTATGAATAAATTACGCTTATCCTAAAATAAAAGGATTATAAATCAAATGGTTTTATTGTTAATTATGCGCACGAATGTACAATAAATTCAATGAATGCTGAATAAATACAAATGTTCAATTAAATGAATCAAACAATTATAAGTTCGTAGTTAAGAAATAAGAATTATAAACATTTGAATTTACAATCAAATCATTTGTAGGTATATAGTACCTAGCATAGTTCATGATGTACCCTGAATAAAAAAAATATATATACCTTATAAACATAATTTGATATAAAAAAAAAAAAAATGTTTTATTTTAAATTTTAATAGACACTTGAAATATATTTTATAACGACGTTTTAAATTATATTTTCACGAAATTAATTTTAGAATTAAATGTAACTATTATATTTTCCCTTTAGACAAATATAATTAACACTTCCATTCAAATTGTATTTATTATTATTATTTATTATTAATTAACGCCTGTTAGGGCAATTTTAACAAAGGTAAAGTAATTTTTGAAATACTATTATTACATTTTTTTTTTTTTTTTAGACAATTTGTTTAGAAATAATTCACAGAATAAAGTATAATTAGGATTGTAGCAGTGTTGGTAACTAGAACTAACCTACGAAAAGGTGGTAGACTCATTTGCCAGACGCATTAGCCTGTCCATGGGGCGATTGCGACTATAATTGGAGGTACGAAAGGGGATGACAAATGGAGCAGTGGAACGTGTGGAATGTTGAGGTACTCGAAATTGTATGCAGGAAAGGAGAGAAGGTGCATCATATGTACCATCAATAGTTCTCTGAAGGAATTTAAGATTTACATTAGCTCTTCTATCTGCTAGGGTCTCTATACATAGTTCACGTAGGACAGGTGTGTAGTCATGAACAGGGTGATTGATTTTCAGGACACGACCTGCAAAGTAGAGGAAGAGCCTCTGAACACGCTCAATTATTAATGAGTCGGACGCAGTGTAGGGATCCCATAGTACGCAAGCGTATTCTAATAAAGGGCGAACTAGAGAGCAATAGAGAGTTTTTAATGAGGAGGACAGTTTAAAATCGGATAAAACACGTCTTATAAATCCTAACATCTTATAGGCTTTGCAACCTATCGATTGGATATGTGAGTGGTAATTTAGATTACTGGTAAGAAGAACCCCTAGGTCTTTTTTACTTGTAACAGATTCAAGCACAGTATCATTGATGGTATTCTTCATTTGTATTTAATATCAGGCTCAAATTGATGATTGCACTCCATTGCAATGCAAATATCCCTCACATTTTTTGTGAATCGGAAAAGAAATGTACGAATTCTCTGATCAGTTCTATTTTTTAGTTTTAAATATTTGTAAGCTCTTGGAAATGGTACTTGCAAGACAAGTGTAAAAAGCGTAAAATTAAAATAAAAGAAAAATACCTAAATGATTTGATATTTTTTTTTTATTACATTTTATATTAATTTGAAACAGTTTTTAATTATTATAATTTGTGTAAGTACCTAACGTTTAAACCATTTCAGATCCAAATTAATTATTATGCCACTACTGAAAATTATGCATATAGAAACATAAAAAATAAAACTATATATCCAGTGTAATTAGTGCAGGTGAATGGAAAAAATCTGTGGAAATCTACAGGTCTTTTATGTATAATTATCTTTTTACGATGTTATTAAAAATAAATTACAAAGTAATCCTAGGCGAGATTTTCTTGGCGCACGCACTCACTTAGTGAACCTTTCAAATAATTTAAATCGTTTTTTATTCGGTGGAAAAAGTGTACTCGGAGTACATTAAGCTGATCAAACTCTGTTATAGAGGTAAGCATTTAAATATGTTGATTTAGAGTTAGTGATTTAGACTAATGTCATATTCCACAATGGTCATCATGACAACGCCAGTTTTACTTAAACATTTTAGTATTGCGCATAATACATACGATTTTCCATTTTTCTTTTTATTATAGTTAGGTACGTTTTTAAATATCAACAACATCCGAGAAAATAAGATTCCCGGTCATTGTATTATTTATAAATTATATTTCATAATTCCTTATGTATGTTTGTATTTGAATCTAAAAAAAAAACGGTCTTAAAAGAAAAAATATTTTTTGATATTTTGAGTGTTGTATAAAACAGAAAAATATTCAATTTATTTTTCAATATAATATTATTATATTTATTAATATTCCGAGCCTTGCGCCTTACAGTAATAATTCCTTCACTATATTATATACAACCCAAAAATCATTATTCTTATATTGTATGACACATAATTACTATTCCTGTATGTGTTTGTGGGATTAAGAGCAACATGTAATTGTTTTTATTTCATATTATATTATTTTATATTTTATATTGGGTATATTATACTATATTATTATTATAATTTGTTTCGTCAATTTTAGTAACTTTAATTTTATAAAACATTCACTATTTATAATATTCGAAGATACTTTTATAAAATATATATGATCAACTATTGTTATAGGTACTTCAAATTTATCTAATGCAAAACAAAATCTCAATTGAACTAAAAAAATATATACATTGAAATGCCACATGACATTTCTATGACCTTTCTACCTAATAAAAACCATTATTTCTTTTAAGAAATGGTGAGTATAACAATGACAAATGTTATAAAATTGATTTTAATATTTTTTTAGAACTTTCTTCATACCTAATTCGATTATTTAATATAACGACATTTTCTAATTTTTAATTTTTTCAGGAAATTTAATTAAAGATTTGTTCTCTTAACCAGAAATGCCTAGATACTTTACCTATGGATTTATTGCAAATTTTTAACAATTTGAGCTTATTATTTAATTAATATTAAGAATTGAGGTTTTACAAATCATTTATCATAATAATAATGTTCTAATGACAATTTTCAATTTTTTTCACAATCATTTTAATACAAAAACACCCTCCTTATCATTTAAATTCAAGTTTAAATAATTTCAGATAATATTTTTATTTTTATTAAATAATAGAAATATTTTACAATTTTTTAATCCAATATTAAGTTGGTAATACTTTTTATAGCTTATAAAATATGTTCAACCTCAATTTAATTTTCAGTTTGTACTGAATAGATAATTGTATAATGCTTTATGTATATTTTAAATAGTTTGTATACAAACAACAATTTAAATAATTTATCAAAAATATCTTAATAAGTAAATTTAATACTAATTTTGTTTATTCATAAAAATATAAAAATAGATAATATAGCATACATTTTAGTAGTATAAATTGGGGGATTCTGAATCCGCATCCCGTTGCGTTCAAAACCTGGGATCTCTGTGAGTATCCTGTGCTCCCTAGAAATACTTCTCATTCGTGGACAGACAAGGGATGGCAAAAATTTTCCAGACCTCGATATATCGGTTATCGATATATATAAAACCGAAATATCGATACACCAAATATCGATATATATTTTGAAACGGGTATGTAATAAGAAATAACAATACACACAATTATATAAACAACCAAACCAATAAAAAAATGTATCTATTAACGCATGTTAACACATGTTACAAATAACATTTATTAAATTTTATTTTTACAATATTTAACACTGTGCACAATAATGCACACAAATGAACATATAGTGGTGTTTGTATTATATCAAAACCAGTATTTATCATCAATTGAGTTTAAAAATAGTAATTTTGACAGCATTTTTTCCCAACAACCTGTTGCGTTCTTTTGATAACGTGGCTCCAGCCTTAGAGAACAGCCTCTCTGATGGAACTGATGTCGCCAAAATACAGAACATTTTCTGACTTTCGTTGTACAGTTGTGGGTATACCGTTTTCATTTCTTCCCATGTTTCAATAGGATCTCGGGAGAGATTTATAACCGGTGTTCCTAAGTATTGCATAACCATTTGGTCTGATGCTGATTCCTGATTTTTAGATGTTGATTTTGATGATTTTATTTTTTGATTTTTGATGTGCTAGATTTTTATGATGTTCCCATAAATCAAATTTTTTTCGACAGCCTCAGGTTGATCATCTTCAGAAGAAGATGACATTATATTATTTTGACATACTAAATTTTTTAACTCTGCAATAGCTTTGTAACAATCAACAGGATCTTTGAAATGAAGGTTCTTTAATGAAGACAATTCTAGAAACCGTTGCACCATGTAATATACACTGTTCCAACGCGTGCTGACGTCTAAAATTAGTTTTTTGCAATTCCCTTATTTTTTTCCTAAAATTAATGTTACATAAAAATTAGGATAATCATAATGTAAACTAATAATATAAATGTTCATTAAAATAATGTTTACCTTCGTCAATTTGCCTTTTCCTAAGCTGATCACTAGCATGTGTACTGCGTTTGAAATATTTTACAACTTCTCGCACTTTTGATAAGAGATTTAATAACGAATCAGTGTTTTTTATTACGTTTTCAAACACAAGATTGATTGTGTGTGCAAAACATGGAATGTGTTTTTCAACACCAAATAATTCTTTAGCTGCTTTCACCATGTTTGCCCCATTATCGCTAGTAATTCCTACAATTTTTGATTTGTCAACACTCCATCTATTTAAACAATTTGATATTTCTCTGGATATGTACTCGGCAGTGTGTGATTGATTAAGTTCAATGACTCCAAAAGTACCTGTTAAACAAAGATTGTTTTTGTTGTTGGTACATTTTGCAAGTTAAATGTTTAAATTAATGAAAGATAATACACAAACCAGATTGTAAAGATTGGTTTTCCAAAAAATGTATAGTTAAACCAAGAAAACTATTCATCTGTTGGGTATCAGTCCAAATATCAGTTGTCAGTGAAAAATAATTAATATCTTGCAATGCTAAACGAAATCGCGTTTCAATAGTGGAATACTTTTGGTCTATAATATTTTTCATTGTATTTCTTGAGGGAACTTTGTATAATGGACATACTTGTTTCATCATATGAAGAAATCCCTTTCCCTCAACAGTAGAAAATGGCTTATTATCTTTACAGATATAATAAGAAATTGATTCATTTATACGGTGATATTGGGAACCGCCAACTATAAAAATAAATTACTAATATTACTTAAGTGTAATTTATAACAAAATATTCATATAAGCAGCATTTACAAGGAACATAAAATATTTTATATGTGTATAGAACAACCTTTCTAAAAATGTATGAGATTCAAAAAAACAAGCATTAGCTCACAAAACTTATCATTCATTGAATAATTTACCAGCTATTGATGATATCTAGCCAAACATTTTGTCAATATTTTGTTGTTTAGGAATACACAATCTTGACAATTCATCAACAACACCATATGTATCACTTGTGACGCTACAAATCTAAATGGTAAAAGTTAAAAAAGTCTTGGAATATTATATAATCTATAGCCATTTTGTCAGAACACTATCCCAATCTGCCTAAATTGTAAAACCTATAAGTAAAATTACCTCATCTGGATCGTCTGGATCATAAACCACATTGTCCAAACTAGAAGATTTTTTTCGTTTTCGTTTTCCGTATTCCTGGACCTGGCTACTACTTTGGCTACAAGACACAAAGCTTGAAATCGCAACCTGTTTTTTCTTGGTTGTGCTTGTACCTTCGGTTTCATCCGCGTTCTTCTTGGTATGCTTTTCTAGATGTGCTTTAAGATTTGACGTATTTCCACTGGTTTTTATGATTTGGTTGCATAAATTACACTTGGCCGATATTTGGTTTATTTTAGTAAATGTTTGCCACAATTTACTGGGAGGGGACATTGTTCAAATATCACCAAACACACAAGACACAAGTACACAACTTTTAAAAAGTGTAATAAACTAATAAAATACTACTACTTACTAGTATTATACTAGTACTAATCATCTAATAAATTATCATTATCAATCGGCATTTGGCGGTTGTCGGTGGCGATAATTTGATAAAATAATTATTATCATTTATCGACAGTATCACCACCATGAAAAAAAGAGATTCTAGATTTTCAAAGAAACAAAACCGATACGTACGAAGTATCGGCTCCTACAGTCGTACCAATTGATAAAATATCGATGTACCGATAATGTTGAAGAGAAAATATCGATGTACCGATATTATCGAAAAGTAAATATCGATATATCGTTGCCATCCCTAGGACAGTAAAGTCTAGCAGCTTGCTCGAAAAGCCTAGATTTGTGCTGTTTGGATTACAAACAGATCGAAAAAAAAAAATGTCGAAAACGACACTGGTCGATTCGATCACTGTCAACTAAAAAATCTTAAGCTTCACTTAAATTCTGAAGTGTTCCCGTATGAAGACTTTCGCGCTGATTTTAAAAATAATACCACCAGCATACTCTACAAAGCTTATACAGACTTTCAAACATCGTATTACGAAAGAGATTATTGTGAACCATTTTATCAAAACATATTTTTCAAAATTATGTTCCAATCATCGTTGTTGATTTATCACACCAGGACGATAACGTTAAATCATCGACCGTAGACCTACGAATTGAATTTGAAACGGATACAATTATTCCAGAAAAAACTGCAGCTTATTGTTTAATACTACATGATCAGATTATAACTTATAATCCGTTTAGAGGAGATGTTAGAAAGTTGTAAACCTTATGTCATAGTTAACATAATGTTCACCACTTTAAATATTATATTCCGAAAAATCAGTGGCGGCGCCAGAACTTTAATACCAGGTGGGCCAGGCTGGGGCCCAAATTTTTTAGGGAGGGCCAAATTGTTGACTTGATATATATATATAAACAATAGTGATGACAGGCAATTTCGCAGAGGGGTAAGGGGGAGGGTCAACTTTCAATTTTTTTTACACTTCATCGTGTAAACTTACTAAAACAATGATTTGTAAACATGTATTGAATTAATAGTATTTATTTCCTAACAAAATATATATTCATGTAAACACTTTTTAATTTGTATACTCCCTAAACCATAATTACACTCAATACCAACGAATATTTAATAATAATTTATTATTTTCGTATTCAGCCTCTGGAAAATACACGTTATTTATGAATTATGAGGCTTGAAAGCATATATAGAGCATAGTTGTCAACCCATTCAAAATGTTGTTCACGCCATCTATTATGACTTAATATTTTCATATTTTAATAAATCATGATTTATTCATGAGATATTTTTTAGTATTCTAATATGATTAAATTTAATTTTTGGGGTGGGCCACAGGGACTTTTTAAGGTGGGCCCGGGCCCACCCTGGCCCACCCCTGGCGCCGCCACTGCGAAAAATATTTGTAAAATATATTCATGTTATAAACAGTATTATATATTGACTACGCAGCTTATACAATTCATTTGTACACGTTATATTTTACAATTCATTTATAAATTTCAACATAAGTATAACGAAAATAATTAGCTCTTATAATATCAAATTCAGAAACCGTATCATTTATTCTTAGATCTACTAAAATCGGATTATATTTAATTTTTCTTATTATTCTATCACCCCATATTGTATAATTCTCCGCACAATTAGTTCTGACATCCCAATTTATTTGTTCTTGCGCTAGTTTAATAGTGATATAATTATTAAAACGCTCCAAAATATCAGGCTTAAAAATAATTTTATCTGCATAATAGTTTACATATTCCCATGTGATGATCCAACAAGTTATTTAAAAAGTCATACGTCTCACCCAATTCGTAATTGCTCGTTGCAAAAACCGGTGAAAATGTTTCCGAACGTACCTATATCATCCTCGTCATCGGATACGGATTGCTCACTAGTTTCGTAATCGGAGGACATAGACTCTTCGCTGGGCCCATCGATGGAGATCTCAGATCCGTCTTCATCCTGATATTTATTTTGTAAGTCCTCGATTTCGTTTTCATAGGCTTCAACTGCCCGCCTTCTGACACTAGATTGTGAATGTTTAATTAGAAATTATAAAAATTATAAAAATTATTTAAACACTATACTTACAGTTCTAAGCCGTATATATTTATCAAATCATCCGTATTTAGTAACGGGTCTGATGATCGTCGTCCACCCATCGACGTAGGTAATAAAAATATGAATAAAGATATACATGTTATTGCTGAAAGCATTATACTTTTTTTTGGAAAAAAATAAAAATTTTAAAACACTTGTACAATTTTTAAAGTCGGTGCGAGCGAACGAGAACGATAAACGTGTCGGCCGTCGGGGGAGACTATACCGATTCAGCTGCATTCGGTGATATATAAGCACAGGTACGCGATGAAGAACTAATGTTTCCATGTGTGTGAATAGCAGGGACAGAAACCGTTACAAATTTTAACGGTTTCGGTTTCGGTTTTGAGAACGGTTTATAAAATTTTCTGGTTTTGGTTTAGGTTTAAAGATCGGTTTTTTAAATTTTTCGGTTTTGGTTTCGGTTTCAAAAAAGGGTTTTTTAAATTTATCGGTTTCAAAAACCACGGTTTTCAAAAATTTTCGGTTACGGTTTTTAGTTTCCAGTAATAATTTTTTTTTTTCAATGGTATCGAGAGTCGATGGAGGTTGTTTAACGTTGGTCGCAGTACTTCTTCCCAATAAGTCACACTACTTCGCCCCTTCCAGTAATATCTATAGACCTGATTTGTATTATCTATTAACTATTAAGTGGAAAGGGCCTGAGCCTCAGGGGTGGCACTGTCTAAGGATACAGATATATTGGGTTCTGATCAAGGGATTGTTAGGAATATATATATAAATATTATATATACATACTCAATAAAGGTATATTATGGTATTATACATATATTTTTAATAACATTGGTAATTTGTATCACCAATTGCCTATAGGAAATAAATAATAATTAATAAGTACCTACCTAATAACATATTACATGCACACAAATACAATATATTTTTGTATGTTGCAGTAGTTAAGACACTCAGTAAGAAATACTAAATACATGTACACTATATATTAGATATTATATTATATTATGTAGTACATAATATCTTCTTTCTTTTCAATATAAATTATATAATATGCCTTATGTCTGGGAGGGGGGGATTATAAAAAAATATGTGCTACGTAAAAAATACAACTGTTTTAATGCACTTTCCATAGTGGTAGGAACTTAAAATTTAAACCATAGCTTCCTTAAAATGGTCTCATGCAAAGTATGCATTTGGGGGTTAAAATTCATCCCCATTTTGAATATTTATAAGCACAATATTTTATCTCAAATTTTCCTATCACAAAACTTCACTTCAATTATTTGTTAGTTGTTAATATAAAAACAATTTAAAGAAACCTTAATATCAGTAATATGTTTTTAAAAAGAGAGACTATCTTGTATAATAGGAAGATAATAGCTAAATTGTTAAGCAAAGCTAATACATTTAAAAGTTGATGACAGTGTTTATTTAAACAAAAATACAAATTGTATTTAATAAGAGCGGCTTCTCCTAAGCGGCTTCTCCTTTTGCTGTCTGTTTTCTATTCTTCTCTGGGAAAACTGAAAATAAAATATTTTAGTGTATTTAATAATATAATAATTAATTAATTATTATAATATAGGTAGGTACACAAAATCACCTATTAGAAAGTAAAACATTTATTTTTAATTAATTCTTTTAAGTTATAGACATAGGTAAATGTAATAAAATAAAAGTTTACTGACATTAAAAATAAAAATAATTTTTGCATTATTAGAGTTATACACATTATTTATTTAACACATTATTCTTTAGACTTTTCAGTAATTATGGAATTATTTTAGTGTTTTATTTATATTTTATACCAAAGATATCAAACTATTAATTATTAAAATAAAATAATAATTAGTAAATACTAAATACTTAACAAGTATTAAATATTTAAATATATTATTATGTACTTAATAATAATGTATAATAATTAATTACCATCATTCTTTATTTGCTCGTATCAACATTATTTTCTCCAATAGCTCTGAGCCCAAATTGGATCTTAAATCTCCAAGCACAAACTTGAGAGACGAAAACGAACGTTCTACTGATACCTAAATCAAAAATATCAAAAAATTGGTTTTCTTGGATTCTTTAGTTTCTGTTTAGTGTTTAGAACTTAGACATAGATATTTATAATCCAAAAACATGAATTTTTGCAGAATATTATGAAAATTACAATTTATAGTTGGTAAACATAAATGATAAATTAAAATACCTGAGTTGTAGGAACAGCCATTACTACTTGTGAAAGTTCATATAGTTCAGGGCATTCAATTTTTTTATTCTCCCAGTAAGACAAAATATTTTCGTCGTGTTGTAATATAGGTTGGTTGTCGAATAAATTAAGGAGTGACATGATTGAAATGGCAACAGTCCCTGTGCTTCCTGTAGAAGATGAAGAAGATTGAGACGATAAATGCACACATTGTGATAGTGATTGCAAATATAGCTGGAAATCATTAGAAACATTTTCCTCAAATCCTGTTTCTATATTTTCATTTTCTGCTGTAGGATCATCAATATCTTGCTCTTTATCTGTATCATTATTGTTTTTGATATTTTTAATTAAATTATAAGTATTAACTAAATGAATCACAGCTCTAGTTTTCGAGGCGACAGACATTAAATGTTGGTAACGTGGATCCAGATAAATTGCTAAGATAATTTAAAAAAAAAATTACCAATTACTCATTAATATTTAAGATACATGATATAAAGTTAAATCTAATTATTAAGTACCTATTACTTATTATTATTTATTGGTTATAACTTATAAAGCATAATTAAATAACAATTTACAATATCACATAGGTACCTGATTCAAATACAGGATTTGTAAAAATATTTTTTTGTCTTTCAGCCATATTTTTTATCAATGTTTTTGATAGTTGAATATCTATTTTCGATAAGCACATTTGAGTCTTCAACCAAATACCATATACATCACCAGGAGTTAATGAGTTGGATTGCATTTGGACTGTGGCTATTTTAGCTGGCTCTAAAGCTGTAATCTGATAAATTCATAATTTTTAAATTATTTTTTATACAATCAAAAACATGACAACATAATGTTTTAAGCATATGGTTTTTTTTTAGTTCTTATTATTTTTATAATTTTTGAGTACTTATACAACAACTTACTATCTTTTCAACTGAATTCCAATCATTGGAAGATAAGATAATTTGTTCATTTGTTATACAGAATGGTTTAAGTTCAATAAGTCTTGATAACATATTAAATGTACTATTCCACCTAGTTTCGATGTCCAAAATTGCCTGCTTTAGTCCTTCTCTTTTCAACCAGGCTGCATATGTTTGTGTTCTTAACGTTTTTACTGCCTTAACAGAATAATTAAAAACTTACCATTGTAAATATATTGTATTATATAATCAAAAACTAAACCAAATAAAATTAATAGTTTTTTGATAAGTAGGTAGGCATATTATGATCACTGATCACTTAAAGTTATTTAATTTATAAAGCACTATAAAATCTATATACATTGATAGACTATAATTTATTTACTTTACGAGATTTAGACAGAATGCTTTGAATAGAACGGTCTTGCATAGAATCTCGAATAGCAAGCTGAAATGAGTGAACTGCACATCTCATACATGTGGTTAATGGTCCCGTCTCAATACCTGATGTATGTATTAGTTCCTGAATTTGTAATAAAACATCGTCATCTGTAACTTATAAAAATAGCACATTAAAATATATTAATGGTTTAATTTAAAAGTAATTACTGTCTTCCGCATTGAGAATATTTTCTTCATCATTATCCACTAGTTCTTCTTCTGGAGTTTCATTGAATAAATCAACCATTTTTATCATATTTCTTGCATTATCACAAGTTATAGAATATATTTGTGCAGGACTTATTTTATACCTTTCCATTACAAGCAGTACCTTATAAATAAATAATAATATAAATCATTGTTAAATCAATTAGAAATATTAAAAATGTTTAATAATCATAAGAGTGCGCAGATATTGTCAGTAGGGTAGTCAACATACCTAGTTTTACATAACATTATATAAGTATTCATGATTTAAATGGTATGCTTTAGTTATTTTTCAATAACTAAAAATTTTGAATGTACCATTCAAACAGACAAATAAACCACATAAAATATTCATTGCAATATCACAGGTAAAATAAAATAATATTAATTTTGATTTTTTAGTAATTAATATTATATTTATCTACAAATGTACAATATTATGATAGGTACTACTGTAAAGTGTACTACAAGTCTATAGCTAAATAGTAATCACTTGTCTCACTCCAATTCCCATACCAAGGATAAGGAACCTAATATTAAATTATAATTTATAACTTATAAGTTATAAATAGTAGGTACCTTTATTGATTTCCAAATTGAACACTAACGATTAATTAACTATTCAACATAAACTTCTATTTATATCACACCTAATATTTACCTATTCAATGAAAAATATTGTACACAAAAAAAAAAATTTACACAGAATAGTGAAATTGCCTGCCCTAACTAACATGTGCGCACGCTTGTCGACAATAATATTAATAAGATTAAAAGTTATTGCCTATTTAAATTATTTAAAAAAGATTAAAGTGTATAATTTATATATTATACTATATACAAAATAATAGGTATACTAAGTTATAAAGTAATAAAATAGGTACCAACACATTTATTATACTATAAATTATAATACCATATAAAATTTAAAATATTCAATAAATTAGAAATATAAATTAAGTATTATACATTTACATGTGAAACCAATTGTAATACAAGTTATGAATTACGGTTGTAATTTGAAGACGATGCAAAATTTTTTTTTTAGTTGTTTACTTAATATAAAATACTATATAGGTAACTTACTTCCTGCTTCAAATAAGATCCAGTATGTTTATCTAATAGTTCTGACATTCCTAAGGTCAGAATTTTGATTTTTCCATTATAAATAAACTGACAGTTTATTCCGATTATACTTCTGCTTAACCTTGTCACACAATCAATCTTTAAAAATACTAGTTTTTTATTTAACTCTTTTGTTATACTATCAACAACATTAATGTATTTTTTTGTTATTTCTTGTTGAATATTTTTTACATTTATTGTGAAATCTGCAAACATCAATACAAATTTAACACTTAATAGTTAATTAAAAAAAAATATCACTCACATTTTTTATAGCATTAAATATTTTTAAGTTAAAAATTAAAATACAAAAAGTTATAAACTTTATATAAGTTCATCAATAATTGAAAATAAATTTAGAAATTATTATAGTTTTAAACTTTTAGATACCTAAAAGTAAGGATATATTATACTTTATTATTCATCTTACTTGATCCAATTGCTTTTAAAATAGGGTCGATTATTTTTCTAAGTCCACTATCAGATAGAATCGACAGTGGTCGACCGTTATCTGTTACTAGCATAATACATCCATCAATAACCGTTTGTTTGTCAATTTCGACACTGTGCATTTTTTTCTTGACTTCAATAATGCCATCTAGTGTACTTTGTCTTGTTGTCTAAAAGTAATAAATAGTATCAAAATTTAAAAAAAAAAAATCATAATAATGAAATAAAAATTTAATATTTACTATTTAGATTAACTTTAATTTCAGGTACCTGGCAAATAATTTCAACTTTCAAGTTTCAAGTATTGTTATTTCATATGAAATTTTTAATTACCTATCTAATAATAAATTTATAGTTATAACTTATAACATAAAATATGATGATATATGAATAAGTATGATAAATTAAAATTAATAAATACAATAGGACTATAGGTAGGTAGTAAAATATAATAGGTACCATCAATTATCATTACAATTTACAACTGTTAGGTAAGTATGTATTTAGCCATTTAGGTAATATTTTGTTGCAACTTACAAACTAATAGAACAAAAATTAGATTTAAGAACATAGGTACCTACAACCTATGCGAAACATATAATATAGTACAGGACATGAGGATTATAAAAATGTGGCATGGCGTAGATAAAAAAAGGTAGGTACGCGGGCCGCCAGATACCCATCCATTGTGGATTCATTGGATAATTGTCCATTCATGGTATAGACTCTATAATAGAGTATGGACTAGAGGATTATTATTTATTTTAATTTATTACATGTCTATCTTCACTTAATAGTTTTAATAGTTAATAGATAATTTTTCATTTTCAATATTAAAATGTTTAATTTCTAAAGACTAAAATCATATAAATATTGTTATAATTTTATTTGATCTTACTTTTGACACTTTTGAATTTGATTGACATGGCAGTAGCTTTTCTTTCGTTAACAATTCAAACTCCTTTGGATGAAGTTTTTGGATATGCCTCTCTAAATTGGCTGCATGTCTCCCGGTCAAGTTGGAAGAGCAACCTTCAACTAGGCATTGGCTATTATTTGCAGCAGCATTATAATGAAAAAAAAGACGTTCCACCGGATTTCTTTTTACCATTTTAAGTTTTAACATTTACCACTAAGCACAAATCGAAGACTGATGAGAATGACAATGGCGATTAATAATAACTGCGGTCTGCGGGACAGCGGGACGGACGCGGATCAGTCGAATACGAAAATACAATTCTAATTAAATAATAATATAGACGAATTCTTCAAATAATAACAATTTACAATACAGATGTGCATAGCCACGCATAGGGGCGATAAAAATAACAATTGTGATATTTGTATTTTAATTTAGAATCAACAAATCTAGTAATAAAATATAGGTAGGTAGTATAAATAGAATAATATTCGTAATATCGTATTATTAATATTTCGTAATACTCAGTAATAGCATCGGGAATTTTTCATACATATTAATTCAAATATAATATTCTCTTCGTAGAAAAATACTTGTTTTAACTAGAATTAATAAAAATAAAAATTTAAACAATCTTAGAAAATTCTAAGAAACCGATATTAGTTTTAAATGTTAATCGGTTTTGAAGAACGGTTTTAAGAACGGTTTTAAGAACGGTTTTAAAATTTTTTGGTTACGGTCTGGGTATTATAAATGGTTTTTTAAATTCTTAGGTTACGGTTCTGGTTTTTTAACCGAGGTTTTAAAGCTCTTGGTTTCGGTTTCGGTTACGGTGTTCAAAAATGCAAAAACCGGTTTCTGTCCCTGGTGAATAGAAAAATATTGAATAAGGATATATCTTTTAATGTCGATAAGGCGGAAGTGTCTTTCATTATAAATGGTCATTGTGGCTATTAAGAGTCCGTGACATCCTGGCGACTCAGGTGATTAAGACATAAAACGGAAGTGTCTTTCAATATAAATGGTTTTGCAATGTGTAGCATATATGGTGTATTCATTGATATTATTTGTGTACGCAGCTGCAAGTTATTATAATATTATTACTGTGGCTTAAATATTTTCAGAAATATTTTCAGAAATCACAACCATTAGCATACGAACACAACTATATTTCACCCCGCTAACCACTCCACAGTAACCAAAAACACTCGCACACTCACAACGATGATTGGAACATAATTTTGAAAAATATGTTTTGATAATAATGGTTCACAATAATCTCTTTCGTAATACGATTTTTTAAAGTCTGTATAAGCTTTGTAGAGTATGCTGGTGGTATATTTTTAAAATCAGCGCTAAAGTCTTCATACGGGAACACTTCAGAATTTAAGTGAACCTTAAGATTTTTTAGTTGACAGTGATCGAATCGACCAGTGTCGTTTTCGACATTTTTTTTTCGATCTGTTTGTAATCCAAACAGCACAAATCTAGGCTTTTCGAGCAAGCTGCTAGACTTTACTGTCCACGAATGAGAAGTATTTCTAGGGAGCACAGGATACTCACAGAGATCCCAGGTTCTGAACGCAACGGGATGCGGGTGCGGGTGCGGGGATGCGGATTCAGAATCCCCCAATTTATACTACTCATTTTGATTAAAACTGTCAATTGTACATATTATGATCTACACAAAATAAATAGATTTTCGTTGAAATTATGAATTCGAGGAAAGATTTACTTTAAATTATTATACAGTTCATGTGCCTACAACAACAGTAAGCTTATTGAAGAACAGTCAACACAATATTTTTCTATTGCAAATATTTTCTTTATATAAAAAAAAAAATAAAAAATAATACAAGCAAAAGTTAATCACACGAGAGGAAAGTATTAAGGTCTGCTATCTTTTAAGGGAGTAGATAAAGATTTGTTATCTTCAGCTTAAGACAATGTTTCTACATTTCTAATATTATTATGTAATAAAATAATATTTCATAAAGAGTGCACACACAAATACTTGAATTCAAGCAACATAATAGTATAATTTAATATGTATAATAAAACTGAAAAAGTCATTCGTGCATTTTAGTGCATAGGTATGAAATATATTTTTATCTCAGATAAAAGGAAATTTATATCAAGCAATAAGAATTGCCAAATTCGAAACAGTCATATTGTTATTATATTATATCCTCACTGAACGTCCAACAAAACGTGTCACTGTTTTTACCAGGGGTTCCCAACTGCTTTTTCGTGATAAAAATGTGTGCGACAATATTTTTTCAGGTGTGTCGAGTAATTTTCATTTTATTGTCTTTAGCTTGTGTAATGCGATAAACGATTAAATTTAAAAGTTATACACGTAAATATGCGGTGATAATTATTTATGTTTTTTGATTTACTCCAAACGGTAATATAGACTGTCCTTTACCTTTTTTATGTCGTCGAATAATGTGTTCTTTGTGTGTCAAAATGTAATAAAGAATCGAGTTCGCCGTCGAGTAAAATAATTTAGGAATTCTTGGTTTATATAATATTATAATATAGTACAATACCATATATTTTCGAAGACCTCGTACAATAATAGTGGACTGTCCATTATTGATAATTAATTCGGGCCGTATGCGTTTAACGGTACCTCCGTAGTTATAGACTTTTGTATGATACATTATTATGAAAATAATATAAAAAACGATAATATTATGTTATCATAATATCGTGTACAACTACACGTGTAAGTGAAATAAATTTAATTGAAAACGGAGATGAGAAGCAAAACGACCTCGTGCGATGCGCCATCTCGAAAACGTCGATTGCCATCCGTGCTGATGGTCGGACATTTAAAAAATATATTGTCGAACTACAATGTCAAAAAAGTAACCTATACCTACCTACGCCTTACACACATTTTGTCCTGAACGACACGATAACGGAAAAGTTATTTTTGTTTATCGTAGGAAAACTAACGGCGGACAGTCATCGTGTTCGGAGAAGGGCTGATCATCACGTCGTATGTAGAAAATTACCACTATATCGTATAAACTCTATCCTAGTGACAATAATAATATTATACAGGGTGATTCCACCGTGCACCTTCACTCCATTTTTTCCTTTAATAATGAATTCATTCGAATTCTGCTGTTTGGAATTTTTGAATACATAATATGCTATATTCACAAACTTTTTCAAATTCTTGAATTTTCGTCTATTACATAACCTAACCTACTCATGATGATATAAAATAAGAACCCATTTTTCACTGCACATTATTGAGTGAATCTTTTTTGAAATTTACCTAGCTAAAATTGAAACGAGTAGTTTCTCAGTTATTAAAATGTTTATCATAAGGATGTTTTTTAATAATAGTCCTTAAAATGGTTTTAAAAAAATATAAAAACAAATTAAAATTGAATCTAGTTTATTTGGACCATTAATTATTATATTTGGAGAAAAACAGAAGTATATGTCTCCACAGGACAGTCATTAAATATTACAAAATATTTTATGTTTTTTAATTTTTCTTTAATTATATTTAAAAATACTAAATATCAGAATTATTTGAATATCTGTATCATCAAAGAAAAAATGGGTGTGCATGTTTGGTGAATCACACTGTACATAATTCGTACACCAATAGTATGCGATTCCAATTATCACATAAAACGATAACGATGGTATGCGGTATACTATCGCGTTATTGGCGTTACTTTGTTTCACGTTAAGTGTCCGTGTTTATTTTGATGGTTCTCGTATATCGATAATATTGTAAGTTTATGCATTTGACTTTTGGAAAATCGATTAAAATTACATTATGGCTAGTCGCGGTGTTTTGTACAGATAGTTGTACAGCGAAATTTTTATGAATCTGACTCCAGTCGACCCGGTTGGCTTCGGTGGCGTCATTTGCATCCCGTGATAATTTTTAATAGTTTAAAATATATCTCGTCGCATTCCCGCGAACGAAATGACCTGTTTCGGTGTTGCGAATATTGCATCTAAAATGCTTTGTGATAGTGACATTGTTCACGGTATGACATTTATATGCAGTGAAGACTATTGCTAAATACGCGACAACTGCACTGTAAAGCGCGTAAGACAGAGACACTTGGAGTAAACAGTTGTTGTACTTATTAGAATTATACGTTTTGGCTATCAAAATATAGTCAGTACAAACAAATGGTTCCATTACTGCATACATAATCATAAAACTGTTTAATAAATAATTATTTATTCATACAACTAGAAATAATTTATACAAAAAATATAATAATCAGTTACTTGCTTCATATTCGGATAATTCAAATTGCATTTAATTTGTATAGGTATTATAAATACTCGTAAACATTATTTTTTAGTATTCATTTTTTTACCTTCTGAACCAGTTAAAGTATATTATAATTATTTCTCACTCAATATTATCCTAATATTATCCACTTTATTATATCCTATGAGTACTTTGTTGCATTTTAACCAAAAAAACATACAAAGCGCCTACCCAAAAAACAGATGAATCTAATCACGGTTTTAACATAACGTATTAAAATAAAAATCATAATATTGTATTTTATCGAATACCATGATTTCGAAAAATATACCCAATACAGTAATGTTGCTATATTGCATATCCAATGTGCCGTGTTATCAAAATAATAATTGTATTATTCAAATTACATAAATAAAAATATTGCAGTAAGTACTGTGACTTTATGAAGTGCACTTTAAATAAAATACCAACATGTGATACTTACTGATAAAATGATCAGTTAAATGGTGGAACAAACACTGACGCAAAACAGGTAAAATTGCATTTTAAAAAATTCTTTCTGAGAATATCGAAGTCGGTTGTCATAACTATATTTTAACTAAAAATGTAACTGTAATATTTTATTTTATTAGTAAAGATGTATACTGTACTGAAGCGATAATCAAAAAGTATTGACAATAATTTGTCTAATAGGTGGTATTAGTGGTTAGGTCGATATTTTAAAATTGAAATAATTACATAGTGCAATAGTTAGAAAATATAAGACTATACGTTATGTCGAATTAGTTTGGTCTAAAGATTAGTTATACTATAGTTTCTAGTTTCATTTTTAATTTATGATAATTATTGTAAAAAATATTTTTTATGTAAATAAAACAACCGAACTATGTAAATAATACATTTTAGGTAATCGTAATGCATTATTTATTTAATATTGATTTCGATATTAATTTACTCTTAATAAATAGATAATTAATTGAATTAAATTAAACTATAATTATTACTTCCAAGGTCAGTACAACTATATATTATTTTTTGCACTTTTTAATAAGTTAAATTTTTTATTGCAATTTAATCAATATACAAAAAAATTTATAAATACAAAATATAAATCAAGAATAAGTATATCAAACCATTAGAAATACATAATAAACAAATTAAGGTCTCGTGAATGTCTTCATTGAAAAGTGTATTATGAAAAATTTTTGTAACGGAATATGTACTCAAATGTTCAAGTGTTTGAGTTTATTCATAAAAAAAATACCAGGAAAGTCATTCTGCTCTATAGAAGTAGATTTCAAGTGTTGAGTAAGTCACTGTAATAAGTGTGCTGGAGTTGAACTCAAAGAGATTAAATATTTTGATAAATTCATCTCTTATGTAACATTAAATATATGTGACGAAGAAAAGTTAAAATCTATAATATGATTGATATTTTTTTGAAGTGCACCAAAATTGTAGCTTAGATATTCATGTTTTTCTATATATTTCTTTTTTTATTTAATCACTGTTTTTTCAAAAGTTCTGGAAAATTTTTAGCATTGGCCAAAGAACTAATAAGAAGGTGATTAAAAACCATCCTCAAAAATGAAGTTTAAAGCTTTCTTGCCAATCCTAAAGGTGACATCACACGCATGATTGTAAAACTAATAAATTCATATAGCTCTTTTCTGAATCTACAATATCAAGTTCACTATTGAGTAAACTTCAGTTATGTTTTAAATACAATTATTTTACTCCTGCTAATATTACTTTCTAACAGATAATTATTAAGGTGCATTATACTATTATTAGAATAATACATTTGATAAATATGACATTATAATTTAGTAAATAACACTTTCTATGAATTTAAAATTAATTTATTAAACTGGCATGACTGAAAAATGTAAACACATTTTTTTTTGTTAGCTCACAAAAAGCGAGTTCTTTTGACTGAATTTTACATTAACATAGTATCTATATTAAATATATTCATTTACTTTATTAAATAAAACGTTTTGATAATATTGCGTTTTTAGTTATTACATATTTTATCAAATATATTTTATTCGTTCAGTTTAAAAGCACAACGAAAATAAAAATATTTTCTAACGCAAACTTTTTACAATATTTGTTCTCACTTTGTATCAATTTGTAACAGAAAATTCTAAATTTTTATCCCAAATCTTATCCCAGAGATTAATGTTCTTATCATCCGGTACTATGTTATCGTAATATGTTATCTATGTTATTCAACAATGGCCGTTGGACTACGGTTTGAATGTATGTTATGTCAAATACTATAGTATTTGGTTATGTACATACTCTGTATATTGTGATGAACAAAATATTTCCGTTTAATTTATTGTTGGTTATTTTTTCTTTGCTGAATTAATTTTTTAAGTAAATCATTTAATTAACGTTTTAACTAATTATTGTGAAGTATTATAAGCAATTTTTTAAGATGACTCTTACAACCTATAGTGAGATACACTACCCAAATTTCATACCCATCTGACTTCAGTTCGATGTAGAAAATTATAGTTATATTGGATATTTGAGTTATTTATATCAGGTCCTAAGTCTACCAACATAAAAGCGAAATCATTTTAAATATTCGTATCAATATAATGACCGCATAAAAACAATTATAGCTGATATAGAATTAATAATATGTATATTAAATAATATTGTATAATAATTTGTGAAAAAATAAATAGGTTTTTGATTTCAGCATAAGTAATATTTTTGCTTAAATTGAGTGATGAATATAAAATTATTTTATTGAACTAAATAGTATGTTCTTAAAAAATTAATTTACCATATTCATAGATTGGAAAATCTTTCCTACTTAAATAGTAAATTTTTTTGGTGATAAAATTTAAAAAGTTTTAGTGGATCTTTTGAGTATAGGAACAAAAAATGCGAAAATTATATTTATGAAATAACAGTATGTAAAGTAGTCTAAAGAGTAACGAGTATGGATAAATCAAGCTCGGCTAAGTATAATTTATGGTTTAAATATACCTAATTTATTGCTTTAAAGTCTGATAACACAGCAAAAATTTAACACACACACTCATGATTAACTTACTTAACACATACATACGATATTTGTATTTATTATTCGCATATTTAACATAGAGAACCCATTAATAATTGGTCTTATCGGATTTTATATACTAACTGTATATACTAATTTTTCTAAAAGTTTTATATTCTAATTGTTTTGCTTTTGGTGATAAGCCAGATATGGTGTTCTTTATTTTATGTTTCCAAAGATTCAATTGCTATCCAATCTATTTCGTACACATTATCTAGGTTTACGGATACGTTTTTAGATGCGTTTTATTTTGTAATGGTATTTCGATTTATTATAGTGATGGGTGCTGGCAGTGTGTTGTTCAGACGAATGAATTCTGTATATCAGTTTCATTTTCACCCTAAAGCTAGGCGATTGAAATTTCATTTTATAGTCACTTAAAAATAGTGCTGAGAGTGGAAACAGTCAACATAGATCTATATGGTTTTTTGACCACTAAACTAAATTATTAATTCCGTTGAAAATTTGAATCTGCAAAATATGAATAAATTGAAAACAAAACTACACAATAATGTGCTATAATTGGTACGTATTAAATATATGTAAAAAATTTAAAATTGGTTAAATATTATATAATTATATATTTTCTATGATAAGATGATACTCGTTCGACCAGTAGTTAACTATCACTTTTTAAAATATCAAAATTTCACTCTTTACCAAAAAAATACATAGTTGTAGAGACAAGTATTCATCAGCATATTATCAGAGTTTATAATTAGTTATTATATTTCATTGTTTTATTCAAACGTTGAAAATAAATTATAATAATTGTTACAGGTTTTTCATATTTAATTAAAGCAATGAAATTAAAAAGACAAACAAAAGTCACTCTCTTATATTCAGCCTGTAGGTGTTGAGTGCACCTCAACTTGAAGTACTTATAAAGTAATTTTACCTATATATTATAACATATTAGTATTTTTAAATTCCTATAAAAAACACTTAGGTATTTGTATTTTTTTTTGTTCAATTTTAAATTTTTTTTACCTAGCATGAACATGTTTGCATAAACACTTATAAAAACATCTCAACTTTTTGAATTCCTTATAATAGTTTAAAATTATTCTAAATATTTTGAAAATGTCACTGAACACAGACACTGATCATTTAAGTATCAGAGGAATTTCTTAATTTTCCACGATTAATATTTAATGGACGTTATAATATTTCTAATAAATACCTATTCAATTTCATCGATATTTAAATTTCAAACGCTTTAAATAAAAAAAAAAATATATATAATTGGTGAAAATTCTTTCGATCTATTTATTTTTCTAAAATTAAATAAATTCTGTCATAAACCAGTGCAGTGTAAATATTTAGGTGTTTTTATTATTATTTTGTTATTTTTGGTTCTTTAAAAAATTATCAGAATCATACCTACAAAACCATCCTTACTGACCACTGTTGATAATTCAATAATATTTCATCCTCTTAAATGTGAGATTAGTCACACAAAAAAAACATGTTTTATTAGAGATAATATTATGTTTATCACTCCACACAGAATCTAAAATAAAACATGATTAACCTTGTAATAGATTTTTATTTCATAAAAATAAAAACTATTCCACTGGAAATAAATCTAAAAAACAAACCAAATTATGATTTAAAATAAAATTTTTTTTCGATTTCTCTGAGAATTAAATAACAAATAATTCCTAAACCTATATTTTTATGATGATATATTTATTTAATTTTGATAATTTTGTGCCAGGTATCAAAGGTCGTAGGTATTGTTTTCTACATCTATTCATGCATCTATAAGGCATGTCCACTTCTACCAACATGATTCCTAATTCATGTTATTCCCAGTTTCTATTGTATGTTTGGCTCATACGAAAAACATGAATACATTAACCAATGTGGGCAAAACAAACAGTAGAAACTAGCAACCCTTTTAATCGTTTAATGCTGTTTATTGTTGTTAAAACTAGACGATTTTCGCAAAAACAGTTTGATATAATAATATAATATTATTGAAATGAACGACCCTGCTTAAAAGTTTCCCCTAAAAAGTGTTTCCTTCAAGAGAAGTACTCATTTGTGTTTCCTTCAAGAGAAGTACTCATTTAGTACGGTGGACATTATTCATAATCTATAGTTTTCTTATAACATTTTTCCCAATTTGTAAACAGTTATAGTAAATTACTTGTAAATTGTGGTTTGTTAATGTGGCTTACTGAACGTGAAAAAAGTTACCTATACAGTGTAATTATATAATTGTGGTATTGTACTTGATAGTCGCTAGACAAAACTTGAAATTAAACTATTGTCAAACCAATTATTAATAAGTTTTAATAATTTTTAATATTGTTAATCTACATTTTTTTTCCGATTTTCAAACAATTATATGTGTAAATTATACTGAAAATATAATATCCAGGCACTGCATATTATTACCTAGTTATACAATTTGTCCAAGATATTATAAATGTTTTAAAGATTCAAGCCAAGACGTTACATTATCGCAATATTTCGTTATTTCTTCAAATACCATCCAAAATCTTTGCTGTTCAGAATTTTTCAAATCTTCAATTAATTGTTCAGCCCATTTTTTTGCATCAGAACTAAGTATTTCTTCTCGATTGTAGATCATTTCCATGTGTTTATCAGACATTTTAACTGCGGCATCATTTATTGAAAATCTAAAAACCATATGATTCTTAAATAACTATTTTTTTTTTATCCGGTAACATTATTCTCATATTATTTTTGATAAAAACAAACAATGGAAAACGTATAAGTACACGTTGTGCATTTTTATTTATTTATTGTACCTATATACAAATGCACTTCATTAGGGAGTTTAAAGTATAAATTAAATAGATAGCTACCATTATTGATATCTACTTTTACTACCATAATATTTTAATGTCGAAAAAACTATTATTTTATATTGTATTCGTTCGGCATATTTTAATTTTGTAAATCAAAATTTTAGGTATATATGATGTTATAAAAATGTACTTTGTTAATTAGGGTTTTAAAACTTCATGAAATTTATTTTCTTGAAATATTTCATGAAACATTTCATGAATTTTTCATGACATATTTAATTTCCATGAAAAATAAAAATAAAATGTTTATTAGGTATATCTAAAAGTTTATAGTAAACAACTTCCAAATGAAAATTTTTAATAAGTTGGTTTATTGTATGAAACAAAGAAAGTATGTAACTTTGTTACATATAATTTATAAGTTGTTTAACAAATCTATAATAGAACAAATTTAAACATTGAATTTTAACTCTTAAGTTACAAACTCATAAACCAACTTTATATCATACGTATAACGTGTAACGTATTGTTGAGAGCCATAGCTCTGCGAATGCATATTATATTTATAGATAATAAAGATATGGATAGGACATAATGGTCTTATCAGCGGTCTTCCAGGGGAATAATTGAGGCCAAATAAAGTATATCTATATGGAGTATCGACTGTCAACAAAAAATGTAAACAAATCGCCTCAATTTCTTATCTATGTTGGACCGCAAAACTAATACGTAATTAATTTGAGGCGTCCTATCCATGTATTTATTATCTATGATTATATTATACTATTTATACTATATTGTAATTATATTATATTTACAATGTACAAAATATTATGATCTAAGTATTAAATAAAGAGTCCAGAGTACCTTCACATACACACACATATACGACTTTTGTACACTTAATAATTACTTAAAATACACTATTATTTCATTCACTGTTGGAATTGACTTAAACTTAATGGTTTGAAATAATTCAACCTGGACGGGCCGATAGCATATAATAATAGTATGCGCACCCCGGACACCTAATTGTTGACCACTAACACCTAGGACAGGTCTTAAATATACGAGGACTAGCTGGGTGTGTAGTGGTGTAATAGCTCGAACAGCAGTGGTCGGGATTGCCGGGCAAATACTGTCGAGCTACGTAATGCGTGTAGTGTATTTATGTGTATTGTTTGTGTGTTATGTGTGTATATATGTGGGTGTGTGTACAATAATTAAACTAAGATAAAAAAATGGTAACACGATTGCTGGTAACTAACTAGTTGCTGTATAATACAAAATCTAAATAATAATGGTACAAAAATATAAAAAATCACAGCAACACAGTAGGTATAAAAATATAATATAAAAATGATAATATTATGATAGTGCTATGCGCCCTTATGGCACATCAGAATATAATAATTAAATTTAGCCCTTATGGCACAATGTGGTATAATAATTGTACGGCCCTTACGGCACGACAGAATATAATAAATATTGTAACAAAAAATATAAAATATAATAAATAACTCACAGTATTTGGTGGAGCGCAGACTGGCCAGCTGGTCCTGAGCTATATCGACATAATAATAAATAATAATAAAATAAAACACACTGGCGATTCTCGCCTTACAATAAATAATAACAGCCAAAGGTATGGTGATTCGCACCGCACAATATAACTGAAACCTGGCGATTTGCGCCCGAACAAATATAAAATAACTATTTAGCGATTCGCGCTTTTTACAACAATAATAATTTATAGTGCTATAATGTCACACCGAGAATTTAATACAATTTAATCAGTTACAATTTAACTAGGCCCTTCTGGCGCTAATAATTATAATAAAACACAATATAAGTTATTTAAACAATTATTAAAACATAATATTTTTTTTGTGCGCGTTGAAACGGTCGGAACAACGTACGGGAAGCGACAGACATTTACGGCGGCCGTGCTAAGTAAAATATCCGCGTAGACGGAGCGGCGGCACGATATCATTTTATCTACATATTATATAACTCACAAGACATTTAAATAGGTACATACAAAAATAAATATTATGACAACAGGTGATAGTGTGTGTGTGGGTGTGACCGGCTATCCTCGCTGCCCGACAATGATATAATTTAAATGATGCTATACTATTATTTAATTATGTTGCGGCGGCGCAAACACAACCATTATCTTTTGGATCGGTCCACATACAACAATATTTTATAAATCATATAAACATTTTAACCTCAAAATATTGCCAGGAATATTTTTCAGCACTACTTATTATAGAATATACAAATATTATGAAATAATGAATCAACAAAAAAAATTTGTTTTTCTTTATTTCTATTTGTTTTTATTTCTTATCATCAATAACCGAACACATTTAAAAGAAGAAAAAATATTTTTCATAATGTCATTGAAATATTTCAAGAAGAGTGAAATTTTCAATTTCGAAATATTTCAAATTCAGAACCCTAGTTATAATATAATTATTAGGTAGTGTTAAGAGTTGTGAATTGGCAAATATTTTATACAACCGTTAAAATATGGAAAAATGTTTGGAAAAACTGTAACCAGTTTCCATATTTTAAATTTATATTCTGAGTGCACAATAAATGTATAAGTTACGAAGATGTCATAAATATTATTGAGCACAGGAAATAGCCAATAGCTTTTCTATACATAGGTACTGACTGAATTAATAGAATTATGTAGTAGGTACGAAAAGCATATAAAATTGAAAATGCCGAAACAAATACAATATTTTGATTTATTAATACAGATAAGTACTAAACATATTACACAGGCCAAGTCTCCAGTTAATGTAGACTGAATGTATTGAATGAATAAAAAATTCTATAATTTAATAATTTAATCAAAAAACATAAAAATAAACTTATTTTACTGGACACTGATAATCACATCATATTTACACAAAAACTGAGACACGGTATTGTAAATCTTGCGTGCTGAGAGAGCCGAGAACGAAAAATGAACCCATGTGGGGTATGACTATTTTGTCTACTGACTATATTGACTGCTTATAAATATAAACATTTGAAATATAAATATACATGAGCATAACCCAATTAGTTTTAATTTAAAAATAACCTATTTATGCCGAGAATATTTTATAATAATATGTTCTTGAGAATCGTATATTTTTGATTTGTATCTATCAATAAAATTAAATAATATCATAATATAACTTATCAGTTATTAGCATGTATTAATTATTATTATTACAATATGCCCGTATGCCCAAGTATGGTATGGACTATCTTTATTTTAACTTACGAATTTTGCTTCTAACATATTTTTCAGAATTAATGTATTGATATTTGCTAAAATAAACTTATTTATATCCAACAATGTAAGGTTTATTTTTTTTGTATTCAAAACATTTAACTTTCAACCAGTCATAATATTATTTTCAGTGTCAATTTTTTTATTCTTTATAAATGAAGAAGACAGTTGTTGTAAGTTTATAAAATTCTTTTATTGCATTTCTTTTACTTTATACGGAGGCTCAAGTGCAGACCAGGATGTACAATCTCATTCTGTGATTTTTCATTTTTATTTTTACCGATAGTGAATTTTGGCTCTCAATATTTCATCAATCTTGTTTATGCCAAAACTCACTAAACCATTAATGACTTTAAACTCAATATATTTATGTTCTTCTCCGTTAGTGAAAATAAGAAACTGTAAGTTTGTGACAGGTTAGAAAAGGAATTTCACTTAAGACATCTTTCAAATCGTTAGATATTTAACACTAGATAGCTATTATCTCAAAATAGTGAAATTGCCGTTACTGAGTTTTGGCAGCTTACGAATTATTATATACTTATCTATGGTAAAAAAAAAATTGTCCTCTAAAGGTGCGATTCCTAAGGAAGCGTCTAGTGACGCGTGACCGGCGCGGCTGAAGCGGCGCGTTTTGAATTTTCGACGCGCGACTGAATAGGTATTCCTTACAAACTACAAATCGCAGCCGCAGCAGACGCGCGGCAGGACTTATTTACTTTATTATCATCATTATATCATATGTTATTTAAAAAATATGATATGATATCATATTAATCGTTTGCATCGTGTTTTACTTTACCTTTTTGTCGTGTATCGTGTTTGATTATTTATCCATGTTGCTCAGTAAAAAGAAAAAAGTTCTTCTACATATGCTTTTAGAAGAAGTAGACGAAGAAGAAATGATAATCAAACATATACTATGTAATAAAACAAAAAAAGTTCACGAGATGTTTCGAGCTAGAAAAATGGAAGGTTTTTTCAATATTTTAATTGAAAAGCATTTATATCGAGACGATAGAAAATTTAGAGAGTTTTTTAGGCTAAGTTGGGATCAATTCAACTATGTTCTAAACCTCATCGAAGATGACATAAAAATGAACCCTTGTAACAGAGTTGGAGAACCAATTACTGCGGCTGAAAAATTAGCAATAACATTAAGGTAAGCATTTACTATTTTAATTATTTATGAGAATTTATTAAAATAAAAATGTATAAAAAATACAACAAAGAAATATGAAGTATTTTATCATATGTATTTATGTATCTAAGATGTGACTCCAATTATACCATTATTATGGAACCAATAATGAATAGGTACTGTATATTTATATAGCACATTATATATATACATATTATACATATATATATATATATTACATATATTATATACATAATAAATAAAATCAAAATTCATATAATATCTAGTTATGATATAATATAAATTATATAAATTTAAACCAGTCCATCCATAAAAATGTATTACAAATTATCAAAATTAAGTAAATTAGTATTTAACTTAAAAACAAAACTAAAATTAAAATTATAAAATATATTTATTTAAGCATTTGATTTATTGTGTTAGTTACTCAAAATTCTCCAAAATTGTATTAGCAATTCATATGTTAAGATTTAAAATATTCAATGACTAATACTGATATGCTGAAATGCTGAATGCATTTATATGAATTATTTATATTAATTTTTATTTTTATTATTTACAATTTATATGCATTATATTTATATTCTCCAGTGAATCTTGATAAATAAATATATATTAAATATTTTGATCATTAGTTTCTGGTAAATGTGTAACCATGTGCATAGGAACCATAAAAACTACATTGTCAAATATAATAATTAGATAGAAAAAAAAACAAATAATTGAATACAAATATTATACTTTTTTGATAAAAAAATTGAGATATTAAATTAATAAAACAACTGTAGTACCTGTATACAATAACAAAACCATTTTTTAATTAAAAAAAAATACCCACTCCTTTTTTGAGAAACTAATAAAAATGATTAAAAAAAAACTATCTACTACAGGAATTATATAAAACAAAAATTATTAAATCCCCCCTTGCAGCAACTAGATTTACTTTCGAACCAAAAAAGCTACTGAAGTTGAAAACCGAAGCATTATTTCGACAAGTTCTCGTGGACACAGACACTAAAAAAAAAACACAACATTGTAAAATCAATACATTCTTCGCTCCGCTCAAAATCTAAAATTGAAATCAATATCGAAAATTTTAATTTCGATTTCAAGCGCTGACAAAGATAAATTAAAGGCACAAAAAAAAATTTAAAAAAACATCATCGTAAAGTCAATACATTCATCGCTTCGTTTATTTCAGAATCTAACACTAAATTATACTATACAATTTACTTTTAATTATTAATATTATAATATGTTTATATATTATATATATATGTAAATGTTTATAATATATTTATTAATGTATTTATTATTTAATAGATTCATGGCGACAGGAGAGTCACTACGTTCTTTGGCATTTTCATTTCGCATATCACAGAGTTATATTACTAGAATTTTACAATTGGTTTTTAAGAGTTTGAGTTCGCGACTGACACCAATTTTAATACCGTCACCATCAAAAGAAGATTTACTGCGTATTTCAGCTGAATTTTGGACGAGATGGAATTTCCCCAACTGCGTTGGAGCGATCGACGGGAAACATATACGGATCTTTTGTCCCCGAAAAACTGGATCGCTTTTCTTTAATTATAAGGACTTTTTTTCAATTGTTTTACTGGCCATTACTACTCAACGATGCTCGGTCGCGCGTCTCGTGCGTTTTGACTAGTGATGGAAGAAAATAACAGTAACAGTGATTTATAACAGTTACTACTGAAGTAACAGGAACAAGCTGTTACTTGGAAGAAAAAATAACAGTTATTGTTATTTTTTGTTTTGACGTTTTAAACAAGGTTTCGGGTTAACGAATAACGATGTTATTCATTATCAGCAGCAGGCTATTGTTCGTTTCTAACACGGAAAATTAATAAATGATAACTGTTATTATATGATAACTGTTACAATATTTTCATGTTATTGTTATTTAACATTATGGTATAGTGTTATAAGTGGTTATGGTGCTCATATTCTTATATTATTTATATTACCTTTCCTTCTGTCTTCTGTGGTTCCACGGAAATTCCACGTCCAACTTTTATCAGATTATTATTTAGTGATGATATATTGATATTATAACAATAATTAACAACTGATGTTAACTGTTCTGTTGTTTCATTATTCGTGATTCGTTTTAATAATTGTATATACATTCATTTAGTTAAGTTAAGTTTGTTTAAATTAGTTAGTTTTTTAGTTTTTTTAGTTTTTTAGTTCATAATTTTAACAGATTGACTTAACCTACTGTTATAAGCTAGGTATAAGTATTAAATATAGTAGGTAAGTAAATAAGTTTATTAATGTTTGTAAAAATGTTATTAAATTAATGATAAATTATAACATACTGTTCCTATTTTTGACAGACAATATAATTTTGATTATACATTCTGAAAATCTGAATTGTAGCTTACTAGAAACTTTTCTGGTAATTGTCCCTTCTTTATCAATGAAACTAGAACTTATAATATACTAACTCATAGAACTTAAACATTTTAATAATGTTTATACTACAAACTTTTTTCTTTGTAACAGTATAATATAATAATAGTTGTTCATAAATTAAAAAATAAATATTTACATAATGTAAAAATTACTTTTTAAATTCTCAAAACAACATTTAACATAAATTAATAATGAAAACCATTTAAATAAAATAAAAAATAGAATATGGTAAATTATAAGTTATTTACCCACGTTATCAAATTCCAAAAAAAACTATTAATGCAAACATTTGCCTTTGTCATAATATTTTTATATTAAAAAAAAATAACTAATGCTTAATAATAATTATTAAAAAAAAAAAATTATAAGGAATAGCATAATATAATAAATCCTAAGTTATTTGTTTTTGTCATAATATTTAAATAATAAATAAAATTAATTAATAATAATTATTTAAATAACGTCTTTTTAAATTCTAAAGAACAACATATTATAATATAAAATAATTATAAAAACAAAAAATAAACAATTGAGTATAACAAAATTTAAGTTACTATGAATTGTAATGAAGGAATAATAACATATTAACTTTTTCATTTTTTAACCTACAACGACGATCATTTAGGACTAATCCGGCACTAGAAAAAATTCGTTCACACGGTACAGATGTACCTAGATGACACAATGTATTCTTGGCCAAAACACTCAAATGTGGATAATTATAGCTATGTTCTTTCCACCATTTTAATGGATCCTGACATCTTGTAATAATTGGATCTTCTAGGTAACGCTGGACTTCCACAATAGCTCTCGATTTCGCAGTTCCCATAGGTGATGATTTGGCGACACAACTATCAATATCATTCCAAATAGATAACTGTTCACTATTGGAATGTGTAACATCTACCAAAGTTGCTGATTCATGTGTTCCATCATCTTCAATGTATTTGCTGCGAATAATTTCTGATGTTTTTTCTATAATATCAGTTTTTGTTGAAGTCAATAATGTAGCATTATGATTGAATGGTATATGCTTGAATCGTGGATCAAGGAATGTACATCTTGAAAGAGTTTTACTTTTTTCTGTATGTTTAAAGCCATCCCTTTCGTTCATGTTTACCAACAATTTTTCGACCACTTGTAAGACTCTGCGTCAAATTCATTTTTAATAAATTATTAAAAACTTTGAAGAGTCCCTGTACAATTACAATCACTAGTGATGCTGTCATGTATTTTTGACCGCTAATAGCTTTAGTAGCTTCTTCGAATGGCTTCAATACTTTTATGAGATCTTTTAAAATAACCCATTCTTCTGGTTTAAGATTCTCTGGAGCATTATTTAGCAAGCCCAAAGTACCTCGAATCGATGTCTCTAATTCAACAAATCTACAAACCATATAATATGTGGAATTCCACCTAGTTGGGACATCTTGAATCAATTTTTTGGGTCCTTTTATACCGTTATTAATTTGGTAGGTTTTTAAAGCATTATTAGCTACCGTACTTTTTCTAAAATGAGAAACTATATTTTTTATTTTGTTTATTAGGTCTTCTTCTAATTTGAGTGCTGACTGTACTATTAAATTCATGGTGTGCGCAAAACAACCCATATTTTTAAAACCTAACATATTAAGGGCATTTTTAATATTATAGGCATTATCAGAAACTGCAAATGTTATTTTGTTGTACAAATTCCATGAATTTAATACACGTTCAATTTCTTGGGCAAGGTTGTTTGCAGTATGATTCAAGTTGAACGAATGACATCCTAAAAGTATTGATTTTAATTCAAACTCGGTGTCTATAAAATGTATAGTAATTGCTATAAAACTTTCATTATTTCTAGATGTCCAGCAGTCTGTGGTTAAGCAAGCACTCTCAACAGTTGATGTTAAACTTTTCATCTCTACTAAACACTTTTCATATAAAGCTGGAATGAGTTCTTTTGATATTGCATGGCGGTTTGGTAATTCATAGTTTGGATTCAGTGCTTTTACAAATTGTTTAAAACCTGAATCCTCAACAACTTTAAAAGGTTGGAAATCATTTACAAATAGTTTTAAAAGTTTCTGATCCAAATTTTTTTTAGCATCCACTGTTAGTTTTCTTGGCAAATAACCAACAACAGATGTCTGTTTACTTTTCCGGATTGAACCTGAAGTTTTCATTATGGTAAAAGCATTTGATGATGATGATGAAGAAGGTGTGCATTGAGTGGGTACAATATCAGACATGGGTTCAGATAGCAGTGAAGAACTAGGCTCAGGAATTGTTGCAGGGTTATCAATATTTTCACTTTCATTATGGTTCTAATGTAAAATAAAAATAATTAAGTTAATTTTCTGAGTCAATTAGTTAATTTTAGTAAAAATTAGTCAATTAGTTGATTTTGAAATTTTTTAGTTTTATTTTCAAATAATAATAAGTATAAACAATAAAAGACTCATATTTAATTATTATTTAATTCAAAATTACAGTAGCCAGTACTAACTTTATATTATGTTTTGTTTTATTTTTTAATTTCAAAATTAAAACTAATTTTTAATATATATTACAATATAAATAAATTGAGATAGCTGTAATTTTAATATAGTTTAATCTAAAATTTTTATAAATTATTTTAAATTCATTGGCTTGTACTTACTGTAGATATATTTGAAGACATATGAATTGAATGAACACCAGCTAAATGTTTTTTAAGATTTGTAAGTGTAGATTTAAAAGAATATTTTTTTAAACACATATCGCACTTAGAAATTTTGTTTTTTTCATCGATAACTGTAAAATGGCTCCATACATTACTCGTACGTCGATCCATTTTGTAAAAGCTGTATTTTATTGATTGTAAAAAATTGTTGTACAAAATAAAATGGTTTCAAAATTTCAAATAATGCTTTTTTGGTACTCTATAACATCACACAGTGAGTTAAAGAATGGTTGTGACAAGATCAAGACATTAATATGCCTTAGTAAAAATATATTTACAAACAGGAATAAACTTGCGCTTTCATGTTTCAGATTTGAAACATGCATGAATAATCTTGTTTCCTACACCTACTACTCACTTACCCATTATGTTGTCAAAGATTTTTTTTTCTTTTTACATATATGATATAATTGAACAGGCTACAATATTATTAACCAATTTGCCTTTATTTTTAATATTCATGAATACTGATGACATTAATATATTATTGTAAATAAAGGAATACAAAAATTAAAAGTATATAATCTATTTATTTTTTTTCAAAAAGATATAACAATAACTTAATACTTTAATAGTAATAACATAATATAACAATAACAATTAAAAATACTGCATTCGTAAAATAAGCTATACTACATTATAATATTAGGTATTAATAATTGATATTTGCATATTAACTTTAAAACAAAATTAATTCGCACCTCAAATAACAATATTTTATGTACATGCTATACTACATTTTACAATTTTACAGTTGCATAGAAAATGTAACAATTCGCCATTCGGTTGTTGTCGCCTGTATTTAATTAAATAACACCCATTAGTCTTTCGTAATCAGAATACACATTGCAGGAAATTAATTTTCATATTTTAGGTAAGTATTATCCATTAGGTAAATTTTAATGTATTTTGACTGTTATTGGTTTTAAATCAATTTTTAAAATAGCTTCTCCCAGATGTTGTTAATTTCATCGCCGATAGCAGCTTTTTTTTTCTAGTAACAGTATCAATAACAGTAACTGTTATTTTCACTGTTATTTTTGGTGTAACAATAACAGTTTATAACAGTTACGGAAATTGATAACAAGTTACCATCACTAGTTTTGACCGCCTACGGAGCGGTCGTCGCGCGTCTACGGACGCATGCGCCGCGCGGCGATGTTAGGAATCGCTTACATTTAAAAATAGGTAAAGAAGTCCCAGCGCGACCAAAAATAGAATTGCGCCGCGTCAGCCGCGCCGGTCGCGCGTCACTAGTCGCTTCCTTAGGAACAGGGGCGGAGTGGGAACCAAATCCAGGCCGGGAGTTAAATTTTTTTTCTCTCTAAGCTCGAATTTGGTTTTTCTATTTACCTAGGTATTTCAAAACTACTTATAGTATTTTAAAAGTATTTCAATCACTATCTTGCTAATTCTTTTAACTTCTGTCTTCTAACACATTACATTAATATACCACTAAGTACTTATACCTGAAAGTCTGAAAAATAAAATTAGTAGGTTGGTTTAATAGTTGAAATCAACGAAATATTAATAATTATATTAAACATTGTGTTTTAATTGTTTAGGTTTAGTAGATATAAGGTAATAAGTAATAGATAAATACATACATTGTAAACAATATATTATAATAAAAAAGATTTATACATTCATAGTAATAATTTAGATAATAGCTTAGATTTCTCACCAACTGCAGCATTTTAATTTATGATAATATTGTTATCTATTTCCATGAGAATTTTATTTTCAATGGCCATTAGCATAAAAGACTCAAGATAATCATTGGTCATTGAATTTCTCAGCCTGTTTTTTAAAATACTTCAATGTTTAAAATGGGTGTTTTATTATAAAAATAACCGACCTATATCAATATTATATTGCTTTGATTTTATTTTATGTCTATATTTATGTACCAAATATTTTGTAATTTTATATCCAATGCCTTATCATAAGAGTATACAATTGTACGAGGCTATCCCAATGTACTATTATTGCATTAATAGTATTTGTAATACAATAATTTAATAGAAACAAATTTTTGACGCATATAGCATTAACTAATATTTTGTAAATTAAATTAAATTAAAAAAAAAATCTAACAAAATGGCCAGGCCACCAGGCCATCTGGAAAATTCCCATTTCCAGACCGGCCACTCCGCCCCTGCTTAGGAATCGCACCTTAGGCTGGGGCTATACACGGCGATATTCGCAGCGAAATTCGCCGGGCGGATTTCGAGGCGAATATCGCTGTCATCGAAAACCTATATGTTTAAATCAAGCCGGCTATACGACTTCGCCGCGAATTAAATCGCCGCGATATTCGTCGACGGCCGACGATTTTTTTCAAAATCGCCCAATCCATAAAATCGCGTGACCGTTAATTACCATTGCTTTTAATGATAGCGGCTATACGGGTATTTCGGTTTAGCGAATTTCGCGTCGATTTTAACTATATACGGTATTTTTATACAATATTATTGTACATATTATATAGGTATATAATATTATTGTAAAATTGTAAATATCGTATTATATAAATAAACACGATATTATAATATTATTTATATTATTATTAGTTTTAAGTTATTTTTAGTTTTCACCTGGTACGAAAAAGGTATTACTTATTATAAAATTGTAAAACTGAATTATTATTCCGTCGCCTGTCTTTCCGTCAGCATGGCTAATTTTGACAACGAGAGACTCATTATGGAAATTCATTTGAAGCCGTCTATTTGGGACACTTCAAGTGAAGAGTACAAAAATAGGGATAAGAAACTTCAAGACTGGCAAGATGTAGCTGCTGCTTCGAACGGTAATTGGGATACACTGAGTAAAACTCAAAAAGATGAATTTGGTAAGTACCTAAACATTTAAACCATTACATTTTAAACTTTATAAACCATGTTTACATTACAGATTTTATATCATTTTTACGAAACATTAAATGCTTTAAACCTATTTTGATTTAATTTGATGTTGGTTAATTAAAACAACAATTACTGTACATAATTTAAAATACTTATATTTAAATTATTATTGTTAAATATCCTATTTTATTATAATATTTTATTCTACTGAAATATATACGCGCCAACACGTATGGTATTAGATATAGGTATTTTTATTTTTCGAATTATTCATGGACTAATCTCAGATGTATTTTAAATACTTATAATTTATTATTTTTATCCTTTAGTGGTATACCTAGGCGGCTAGGCATATTAAAAGATATATAATAATTTCAAAAACAAAGTAGGTAGGTATGTAAAATAAAATAAAATAAATATTATTGATATTTATTATAAATTTATTTCTTAAAAAATATAACTTTATTTATAATTTATATTGCATTGTACTGCCAATCGAGTTTTCCTTCCGGGCTATCGAAATATGTAGCGAAGTAATCTCGTACATCTCGAGCATTATTGGTTGATCCTCGAAGAGTTAATTCGATAGACTCTAGTGTGCAGTGAAACATATCATCGTATTCTACTCCATCCCGACGACGACCAAATTATGTAGCACACATGCTGTTTTTACAATTAATGTAGCAAAATCCGGCTCAACTAAAATTGGTGTATGAAAAACTCTCCACTTGTTTGCTAAAATCCCAAAAGTACACTCAACATAGCGTCTTGCCCGGGTGAGTCTAAAATTAAAAACTCTTTTTCTTATATCTAAATTTTTTCTCGGGTAAGGTCTTAACAAATTTTCATGTAACGCAAATGCCCCGTCTCCAACAATAACAAATGGTTGTTCCTTACCACCATTATCATTTGGTAACTTTTTTCACAAGGTATATCCAATTGTCGATCATATAATTTTTTCCCTAAAGGTGACTTCTTAAATATATTAGGATCTCCTTCTCTACCATAAGCGCCAACGTCTATTGAAAGAAAGCAATAATTGGAATCTACCAAAGCCATTAAAACAATCGAAAAGAAGTGTTTGTAATTATAATAGTTTGATCCACTCTTTGATGGGTTTATAATTCGAATATGTTTCCCGTCAACTGTGCCAATGCAATTGGGGAAGTTTGCGTTTTTATAAAATCCTTCTGCTGTCTTTATCCATAATTCTTTAGTAGGTTCTGGCATTTCCAAAGGCTGTAATTTTTCCCACAAAGCTGCAAGAGTCTCTTTTATTATCACTCGAACTGTGCTTTTTCCAATTAAAAAATCCAAATGTAGTTGATTAAATGTAGCACCCGTCGCTAAATATCTGAAAAGCAATATTCACCAAAAATGTTCATTTTTTTTTGTAAATAAATAGCTATAGTAAATTTAGTTAATGAAATACTTTTTTTAGATTCTAAGAGGAGCGATTATTAACAATGTTTTTGTTTCAATTTTAAAATTTTTTTTTGTGTGTGTGTGGCTTGTTTACGTATGTAAGCGTGAAAAAACTTTAAACTTAAATTGTCACCAAAAATGTTAGCATTTTTATACATTAAATTTTCAAATTATTTTTGCTTTTTTTCAGCTATTTTACTATACTATTTGCAATGGCATTTCCAAAATATTGAGATTAATTTTAAGCTATTACATTTTTATATCACTGTTCTACTGTTCTACAGTTAGGGGTAATATTGACTCAAAAATTAATCACAATAATATAATATGATAAAAATATAGCCAATTATTATTATTATTAATTTATATAATGTATGCAATGTTTCCGGAAAAAATTAAATCAACCATCATAATACTAATAGTAAATAAGCCACCTTTTTTATCTTAATTTAATCTAAAGATTTCCAATTTATTATTTGTTCTACAATAATTTTCAAACGTAGGTAGTTACTATATTATAATTCTGTATTCATAAGGCATAAATGGTATAATAAATAAAATATGGTTTTTAATTTAAATAGTGAAAGAAATTATGAAAAGGTGGAAAAACCTACGTGATACATTTAAAAGAGAACATCAACAATATGTTAAATCAGGGTCTTCGATGAAGAAAAAAGCAAAGTATTGTTATTATGACATACTGTCATTTCTTCAGCCAAGTTTAATCGGCAGAACGTAAGTATCAAATACACATTTATTAAACACTGTTATAGCGATTCAATGCTGTGCCTATTTAATATACTTCTATTTCTTAGAAATTTC